TGCCCGCGCCGGCCCACGCCTGCCCACGCCTGCCCACGCCACTGCAAGGCTTTGCCAGCAGGCTCCCTCCAGGCTGCGCTTAGTGACGGCTCCTGCAGTCAGCCACTGCCCTCGCGTGGGGATTTGGGGGACAGCAGAACACTCACCCAGCAGCCTGAAGATCAAATGCAGCTCTTCTTTCACCGTGGAGCCGGGGAACATGGGCCGTCCGGTGACCATCTCGTAGTGGATGCACCCAACACCCCTAAAGCAGCAGCAGAGACCTTGGGATTAGTGAGGGAGGAGCCCTATGGATGCCCCACCAGCCCTTGGCCAGGGCTGAGGTTTCTGGAGAGGGAAATGAGCACCAGGAGCTGTGTCCCTTCTCTGCTACAGGTAACTATCCACCCCTGATGTGGACAGTGTGCTCCAAAGACCCTGAGCCCCAGGGGACACGGAAAACAGCACGGCCTCTGGGAGAGCCCACCACCCTCTGGTGTAACCAACACCGTGGGCATGTGTGGTGCTGCACTGGCAGACGGATGGAAATGCCCGATCCACCGTCTCGGAGACCCCGGGAAGCTCACCACATGTCAATGGGTGTGGAATACTCGGTAGATCCCAGCAGGACGTCGGGGGGCCGGTACCACAGCGTGACCACCTCATTGGAATACGTTTTCGTAGGGACTGACTTGGCTCTGGCTAGTCCTGAGGGGGAAAGGGATGGGCATGAAGGAGCTGCGCCTAGCTGCACCTCCTTGCAATGCTGCATCTTCCCCAGAGAGGCCCACCTACCGAAGTCAGCCAGCTTGAGCTCTCCTCTCTCATTGATGAGCAGGTTCTGGGGTTTGAGGTCTCGGTGCAGGATCTTTCTCCCATGACAGTACGCCAGACCACGCAGCAGCTGGAACATGAAGATCTGTGGGGAGAAGAAGAGGTTTGCATTTAACACAGGCACCAAAAATGAGTCTGCCTCAAACTCATGGCCAGGAAAGACCCCTGGAAGCTGGCCTGGGGTGGGATGCACTGTAGACAAGTATTCAAGCCCATCACCAGCAATCCAGAAAAGGGGATGAACAAAGTCTGCATGCACGGTAATTTTATTTAGGGTGGCAGTGACTTGAGAAAAGCTGGTGGAGCATCAGAGCAGGCTGACAAAGGTCAAGGAAGAATAAGAAAGCTGAAATGAAGAAAGGAGTATCCAGCTTCACCCAGCCCTGCAACACCCTGGACTGCACTGAGGGTGTGCTCCCCGCATGCGGGGAGAGGCAGGAGTATGGGGTGCCAGGCAGCACCGTCTCACCTTCACGTTGTGCACGCTCATCAGGTTCCCACAGTTATCGAGGTACTGTTTGAGGTCATTGTCCTGCAATGGGAAGCACAGGTCAACCTCTCCTTCCCTCGGCCCCCATCACCCGCCCGCAGAAAGGCAGCCGTCCCCCCGTTCCCACAGAAAGCCCCCCAAACCCACCAGGTACTCGAAGACGAGGGTGAGGGAGCGCTCCGTGTGGATGATGTCATGCAGGGTCACGATGTTGGCGTGTTTCAGGTTCTTCAGCAGCGACACTGCAAGAGGAGGACATGGCGGGTTGGGGGCAGCAGGATCTGCTGGTGGGACTGCAGGGACACGTGTCCGCCTGCACCATCCATCCCAAATCCGCCTGTGACCCAGCATGGCTCATGAGAGCTGCGATGGGGAAAAGCCCCTCCTGCCCTCACCTTCCCGTATGGCCGTGCAAGGTGCCCCTTCCTCGTGCTCCAGGCGGATTTCCTTCAGGGCAACGAGGTTTTCGGTCAGCTTGCTGCGTCCCTTGAAGACAGTGGCGTAAGTGCCCTGGGGGGAGAGAGGAAATACAAGCCATGCAGACCATTTATCAGGGTGCAACAACGCCGATATACTCCATAATGTTCACGGGAAGGATGATTTGAAGCTAGTGGGCCAAGTCTGAAGTCCATAGAAAGACCTGGTCTAAAAATTGCTAGATATTGAAGAAATTTGGCTACAGTCTGCCCTTTGCACTTCAAGCTGCCTTTCTAACTTAATTTAAATCCTTACAGGGGTTTCGTAGTCTACTCACCTCTCCCAGTTTATCCAGTTTAACGTAAGTTTCCAGCTTCCCAAACCCGATATCTGACTGTAAGAGAGAAAGGAAAACATCACTGGGGGGGGATCTCATCCAGAGACGGCCTCACCGCCGGGGAGGAAGGTCAAGGACACTGGACAGTAACAGCTTTGGGGGCACATCGATCAGGGCAGGTGTTTGCATGCAGCAGCCAGGCTAATCTAAGTAGATAAAGTCCATTACTTTCCTGGAGAAGCTGCTGTGCAGGTGACCAGGCAATCGATCACGAAACCTCCACAACTGACCGGCTGCTTAAAGCGAAACGGACGCTACACCTACACCCCGAACCCCAGGGTGGCTGCATCCCGCACGGCTGCCCCGTCCCGCTGCCGCCCCTGCAAATCCCTTCTCCTCTCACCCACCACCCTGACACGTCACCAGCAGCGGCCGAGCTGTGACTTGCAAAAAGCCGATGCCCTTTTTGTCAGAAATGCCTCACGGGATCCTACTGCCGGTGCCCAGCCCTTTCTTGAGTGCTTTCCTATGTCCTGGTCTTTACTGTGACTCCGTTCATTTCTCTGTGTGCTGTTCAAACCAAGCGTGAAAGGGACATTTTCCCATTTGGAACAGTAAGTCTTCAATGCATTGCTGAGACCTGCTCTCGTGTACCCAGTGAAAGAAGGGCAACCGCTGCAAAGCCACAGATTTAAATTGCATTTTTCTGTGGGGACAGAGACACCTCCTCGGTTAGTTTGGATCATCTGTGTGCCAGGGCAGGGGGTGGTGCCCAGCACAGCAGGCCCAGGGCAAATCATTGCTCCTTAAGCTTAATAAACCGGTGTCATTCTCCTAGAAAACACGTTGGCATCGGTGCAGTCCCAGGCCAGCAGCCAGCTCTGACTCCAGCCCAGCTAAAGCCCCCCCAGCCCAGCAGCGCTGCCCCCCGTCCTGAGCCACGGGCTCATGCCATGCCGCTCGCCATCAGCAGATGGAGCTGGACGGACAGCTGTCAATCAGCAGGCAAAGACAAGGGCTGTGCAGGGAAAGGGGCCCCTGGGGGAGGCACGGCAGGAGCCCCCTGCGCTGTGCCCAAGAGCTCTGCCTGGAGAACCAGCAGCCCCAGGTCTGGGGGGCTCTTGCAGCCTCCCCTGCTCCCCAGAGGAAGGCTTTCTCCTTGCTACAGGCACTGCCCAGACCACCAAGCTCTCACAAGCTGCCACACGCAGCGAGGAAGCTGTTTTCTTGCTCACGCAGGCTGGATTTGGACCAGCAAATCCCAGGGGAACACAGCGGTTTTTACTCCGTTTTGGCTGCCCCAAACCCTCTGCATACCCCAGGCACAGATGTGTCCTCAGCAGGGAAATGAAGTGGCCGCTGCAATCTGAGGTGCAGTACACCCCCCCTCCAGAACCATACTGCAAGTTTTATTCATGGAGGAGACCATGAATATTAATAGCACATTGCTCTGGCTGTGTCTATTTTATTGATTAGACAGAAACAGGCACGTAAATGCAAGCTCTCCTTTCCTCCTCCCTCCCCCTGAACAGGCATGGCAGATCTGAAGACGCCTGCTGAGACCTCGCTGTTGTATCTGTGTAGCACTGAGAGCTTCTGGGCAGCAGGACACATGCTTGCACACTTGTAAACAGGGCACCGGGTTTTTGCTCCTACATATGCTGATGCTCTGCAGTAAAGAAACTGAAATGCCAACACCAATGCAAAGGCTAATTCATTATTTATTGGCATTTGCATTTCAACTAGCAGAGGTTCCAGCACTTGCTAAACCGCAGGAGGCTTTTCCGCCTCCTCCCATCTGGAAGGAGCCAGGCCAAGAGGAAAGTCAGGGATGCGCAGCGGTGAGCGGAGGAATGCGCAGGTCTGGGGATTTGCACAGCAGTATGCAGATGTGCGCGTGTAGGCGCGACATGGGGAAGAGACGCCTATGTGCATGGTGGGGGGAATGGGTGCCACTGGGAGTGTGCAGAAAGGGATTTGCACGGGCAGGGATGTGTGTATCTCAGTGACACACAGGGGAACAAGGGAGCTTGCACAGCAGGGCACAACTGCATGGGTGGGTGGCAATCAGCTGGCTGGGACTTGTACGAAGCGAGATGCTGTGCCGGGCGCTGCTCGCTCTGCACGGTCAGACTTACGAGGGAAGCCCGTCGGGACATCCTGCTGAGGGGCTTGGGGAACTCCGGGCTCTCCATCTGCAGCTTCTCCAAGAATTCAGGGGGGAGGCGGATGTCCATGGGCAGGGAGAGACGCTTGCTGACGTCCTGCGGAGAGGGCCCAAAGGGTGGGTGGTGAACGCGTGTGACGAAAGGAGGACTGTAGAGAGACACTCAAGGGGAAGTGCTCTCTAACCAGAGCCGGTATTAATGGTGAGCAACGGGGGGCAGCACCTGTGGGACCCTCAGCTAAAGGAAAAGGGAAGGTGTGCGTGTGTGTGTGCACGGGGACGTGCACTGGGCTTTGTCAGGTTCAGTGCACCCAAGAGGGCTCGTGTCTGAGACTGCCGGGTCCCCGTGAATCAAACACCGGCTCTTCCAGCCAGCAGGCAGGTGACAGCCAGAACTTGCCACGTCCCTTCTGCCCGCTCCAGCCTGCAGCGGTACTTGCCTCCATGGAGAAGCGACGCTGGTTGTTGTTGCGGTAGCATACGGCCATCGGCGACTGGCCTTCCACCTCGGAGGGGGAGATGGGGCTGGTGTCTGCTCGGAAGTCCCTGCCCAGGTGTCCCAGCTGCAGGTGCCCTTGAGCCAGGTCTGAGGACAAAAAGAAAGGAGAGCGAGCTGCTGGAGTGGTAGCAGAAGTGCCAAGGCCCAAGGCACTTGCTTTGGAGAAAAGAGAGAGCAGGGCAGGATGGTCCAGAGATGCCCCCATGGCAGCATTGCCCCTCTGCAGCAGCACCACGGGGTTTTGCCCAGGTGACTGTTCCTCTTACCTTCCCAGCCTTATCTTCACTAACGTCACATTAGACAAAACACGATTTGCACTTTAGGAACACCGAGGCGCCTGACCGCGGCTCTGGATTCCTCTGTGCTGGGTCTGTACAAAAGTAAAACAGAGCGCCCTGCCTCTGGGGAGCTTACAAGCACACGTCCCTAATCTGCTTCAGGAACCACCAAAACTAACAGACGTCAGGGTACTTTCCTCCAAGGATGTGACCATTTCTCAGAAGAAGGTGTTTGGGATTAAAGGCTGCAGAGTCACTTACTGCAAAACAAAACACTCCAGGCTTTCCTGCCCCAACCTGCAGCGCTTAGCCAAACACACAGTCCCAAGAAGCACAAAAGCTCTCTTGAAAACCAAAGCAGCTCAGAAAAATAACTCTTCTCCTGGGACTCCAGGTGTGAAGCCTCACCAAACCCAAGAAACCCTGAAAGGAGCAAGAAATCAGAACAAAATAAGCCATTGAGCTCCTTCTGGTCTCCAGTTTGAGGCTTGCACTTAAACCTCCTCACTCTGTAATTAACAGCTGGTTGGTAGGAATATTCTGGCATGCAGAGACTCTGACAGCGGCACAGAAAAACACTGACGAGTTCAACGCAGGTCGCCTGCACCCCAGCGAAGTGGATTCCCCCGATACACAGGGATGCTGTTTCCAAGGGGCTGTTCCGAAAGAGGCAGCGCTATCTGGGTGTGCTGGGATGGAGGAGGCAGCGCTAACTGGGTGTGCTGGGATGGAGGCAGTGCTAACTGGGCGTGCTGGGATGGAGGAGCATCACCTCCCCAAGAGAGGTACGCATCTCCCTCTGACTCCCTCTGAAAAGGTGTGGGGCCGAGCAGGGACAACCGTTTTGTCCCCTTCCCGGTGGCCATGCAGCTCTCTCCCTTCTCATCTAAACGTCGCAGCTACCCTCCAAGTTAGCAAGGCCTCCAGGGTCCAGGGGCCCGGCCATAAAGCACCTCCATGCGTCCAGGCACCCTGCAGTGACTTCCCCAGAGCAAGGAGGAACATCGCAGTAGGGAAACTCCCCAGGGAGGACCTGCGATGCCCCAGCCTGAGCCACCGAGTCCTGCCCCTTGCCAAGCCCTTTCCCTGAGCCGCACGGAGATGATCCCCTGCTACGCCTAACGCAGATTTCAGTGCACGGATCCCAATGTGCTCAGGCAGCCAGCAATGATCTCATTGCTAAAGACTGGAGAGGGAGGGCTGGCTTTCACGGGGTAGTGAGCAGGGCTGGGACCTGGCCGCAGTTTGCTCATCTGATGGATGAGAGGTGGCAGGCAAGTGACCTGGGAAAAGATGCGGTTTTGTGCCATGGTCACTGGGGGAGCAGGGGACCTGCGAGCTAAGGGATGCAGGGTGTCCTCAACAGACGGCCCACACCTAAGGGACGGGTTCAGCGCATGCCTCTGGGCTTGGGAGCATCTGAAACAGTGCCAGGAGTTTTTGGGCAGACAAGCAAGAATGAGGCACAGAGTCATCCCCTTCTCCCAGGACCACCGTGGGACTCTGGTCCCTGTCCCTTTCTGCCATCTGTCTGTGCAGGAACAGCCAGGAAACTTACCCTGAATTAAGCACAGGTATAAAATTAATGTGGATCAATTAAACTGAATCAAATCTTTTTATCCTGCTCACTTCCTAAGCAAATTATCTGAAAAAAAACCCCTTAAAGTCCATTTAAAATCTGACCAAACAGAGTTCAACTAATCCACTTTAAATGATAGTTCGAGTGAATTTGTGCTGGTTCCCACAGGTAAACAAACCCAAAGTCTTGGAAAAAGATGCAGCCTGTCCCCAAAACCTGCAAACCAGCAGCACTGCCTCTGGACCAGCAGCCCAGGCAGGTCAGTGTCAATCCCTCCTCATCTACAAGAGCATCAGATGTAAAGCCAGACATAAGATGACAACCTGGACATTCTAGCACATGCAGGGGGGGGAATGGGGTATGCAGAAGACGTGAACTACCGCAGGATGGGACAAAGAAGACTTGCAGAGATGAGGGGAATGGTGTTTTGGCTGCCCTGGGGCCAGGCGGGATGTGCCAGCCCAGCGCATCCTGTGCCACCGTGAGGTGCCCACAGCACCCGGTGATACCCCGTCCCGCAGAGATGCTCTCACAGGGCTGGGGTCGCCCCCGGGCTTGGAGAACCTTGTCGGGTACTCACAGGAGGAGACGTGAAGCTGTGGGCGTGCAAACGTGAGGGCCTGTTTGATTCTGCTCGGCATTTCATGTGGATTATGGTGAGCCCTGACACTCTGCAAATAATGAGGCTGCATGGGATATCAAAGCAAATTAAAGTGAGACCACAGACACAGCGGCTGCCTTTGACGAGCCTCCCGCCTTTTTTTATAAATATATTTAAACACTGTCTCTGCCAAAAGAAGCTTTGATCTCCCAAGGAAAGGGGCCAGAACCCTTCACTGCTTGCCTGACTTATAACTTTTAATTACTTTGCTAAGTGTGAACTCTCCTCTCAAAGCTCTGTTACACTCACGAGGCAGGGCTGCACTCAGCTCTTGGATTATTCATCCTCCTTCCTCCCCCTCATCATCACTTCTTTGTGGCCTTGGACTCCAAAGGCCAGATTTGGCTCTGATTTATGCCACTGCAAACTGGGAGTTACGCAGGCTTTGCAGCCCGAACACTGAGACCTTATTTGGCTTCAGAGGACAGACCAGGCAGTAGCTGTTTTGGGGCAAAGCCTTGGCATAAATATGAGCTATTGCTGGATGCCACCGGCTCTTATCAAAGCAAATGGGAGCCACCAAGACCTGATACCTCTGAAAATCTGGAATACAGAGAGGAATGTGTGACTGGGGAAGCCCGGGAAGAAAGGAAAGAGCCCTTAATGTGAGGCTGGAGCAGCCGTGGAGAAGGTTCCCTGTCTCCGAGGATGTGGAGATGGTGCTGGCCTCCGTCAAGGACATCAGACATTGCACAGTGCCCAGCCTGGGCTCTCCTTAACCCAGGGGCTTTCTTCCACCCCTGCCTCTGCAGCTGAGCAGCCGCCGTGGCCGAGGAAAGGCTGTGCTGCCCGGGGAGGGATGCACGGCACGGTGCGGGGGGTGGGTCGGACACCCCACGGCGGGCTGTGAGCAAGTTAGGCTCCGACCACAAGCACCCCCTTTGTCTCTCTGCATTGTCAGACTCCATCAAGGTGACATTGCCCAGGACGGGAAGTGTCCAGGCTGGAAAGCTGTTTGCTTTTCCATTTGCCAGCTCTTGCTTCTCTCAGGCCTCATTTTATCAGCCTCTGTGGGTAAGGTCATGAGAATTACGGGATGGAGAGGACAGAGCTGGGGATTCCCCACCGCACCACCAACAGAGGAGGCAGGTTTCCACCCACGAGAAGGCCTTGCCTTGTCCCGTTGCCAGAGTCAGAGCAGCTCTGCACATGCTCTTGGAGCATCTCATGAGAAGGTCTGCTCGTCTCTGCATCACCGCCCTCCCCAAGGACAGGCGCAGGCACTCACAGCCACCCAAGTGTAGGATTTGCAGACTGCCGTGACCTGTGAATGCTGATAACCTGTGATTTCTGATGCTGGAGGGAAAATAAAAACTGCAAGCAATTCCCTGAGGAGCTGTGTGAGGTGATGAAAGGAAAAATGATGTGCTGATCTCTGCTGTGATTAGCGCTCTTGTCTGGAGCGAGTGATCACAGTGCCCGAACTGTCGTGGGTCATCCGCTCACATGGAGGAAAAGCTCGCTGCAGCAAGCCTGCCTGCCGCGCAGACGGCAGAGACGGCCCCAGGGGCACGTTCAGAGATCCTGACCGAGGAAGGTGAACCCTGAAGCAAAGCTTTCCCCTGTTTCATGGAGAAGAGAAGCAGCACAAGAGTGCATGCCGTGGCTCCAGTCTCAGCTCTGCTACCGGTTTTCTGTACAACTGTAGCAAAGTCGTTTTGCCTCTCTGCACCTTGATTTCTCCATCTGTAAAACGGAGGAGACCAACACCTCAGAGGTAACTGCTGCTGCCCTAAAGTCAGAGCCCCCTCCAGACCAGGCAGCTCCCAGGAGGTCCAAACCTCACCACCAAACCCTGCAAAACAGCAACTTGCACATAACCCCCCTCCTCATCCCCTCCAGCACGATCCCGTCCCCCTACACATCTGAAGCATCACGCTCCCTAATGCCTCCTCACCCCGGGGTGCTGGGGCTCGTGTACCCCCCCGCCCCAGCTCTCCCCCGGCACCGGTGCCTCCACCTTCCCTCCGCTGAGCCCCCGCCAAGTCCTCTTGGCGCAGGGCTGTGGGCAAAGAGCTCCCAGCTACGAGGGGTTTATTAAACGGCTGAAGAGATGCCTCAGACAAATGTGGCTGTCAGGGCTCTTCGTAAACAACAGCCGCAGCCGGCAGGAGATGGAGATTAAGGGCGCTGTGGAGGTGACTTCTCGGGGTTGTTTACAATCCCCAAGGGAAACGTAATCAAGAGATCTTGGGCAGGAGGGAGCAGCTCGGGGTGGTGGGTACGGCGGGGGCAGCGCGTTTTGCCCGTCCTGTGTGGGAGAGGGCTCGGGTGCAAGCTGGTAACGGTGCGCCGGGGCGGGGGGGCACCAGGGAGGGAAAGCTGTGGCAGGGGCCAGGCGGGGAGGGACGTACCGACCGGCGGGGCTGGCACCGGGGCGTCCCGTAGCAGCACGTCCCGTACCCCACGGGGTGCCCCTGATGCATTCCTGGGTCCAGGCAGGAGGATCTCCTGATCATTCATACCACGTCACCGTCTAGTACTGGTCCAGCCTCTACCCACGGGGTCGGGAATGTCCTCGGTCCCGGCCC